TTCTAGAAAGAGATGACGAGTATTTCTTATAACTGAAGTTTTAAGTTATTGAATGGTTTGAGATCTTCTAGCAAATACCTTAAATGTGGAGGAGTTTACTCAAGTGTTAGCAAATTACTTATCAAGTCCGAACGCATGTTTGGAGGAATTAAAAACAACTACTCTTGAATAAAATATAATTTTATAAATGGAAGTGCGCACCATAAGTGATAGTCATCAACCTAGTGGATCCAATTAATTAAAGGTTTGATTAGAGAGTAAGTTGTATCATCAAGGGGAATGGGTTAAAAACCTATGTCTTAAGAATTGCCATAATGGCAACCCAACCTAGCTGACTGGAGATCTTAAGATCTAGGTTAAAGGGACAATAGAATTGTGGATGATTCAATGGGAGCACTGCGGAGATAATCTCCTACCCATGTCTTATGATGAAACAGTGTTATCTGCAGTGTGTTTATGATAAGCTTTGCTCTTAATGATTCATATACTTGGAAATAACAAGTGGGGTATTGCAAGATACTCTTAATGGGAAGTCATCTATCTTGAGTGAGGAATGAGGCCGTTCTTTTGAGAATTTTCTGAAGGGTTTAATTCTGTAAAAGAACTCATAAGAAACCGAGAATTGTTCAGGGCCAAAATGAACACAACTGAGCAACCAAAGGGTGTCTGGAAGGGTATTGTGTGATTACTATTGTCTTGGTTTACACAAATGGCTAAGCAATTTAAGACATTGCGTTCACTGATTAACCAAGTAAATCTGATAGTAATTCACTACGAAAGGTTTAAAGTCAAAAGCTACCTATCCTGATGCGGTACTTTTTCTACTAAGTTCTCTCTCTAGTGTCTGCATTGTCATTTACATAGTGTTGAGTCAATTTCCATTCATGCGCGGGATTGTTGGAAAATTTAATAATAGTACTATTATATTAAATTTATTAATTGAATGAAAATTAGAAGTGAAGCTTTTCGGTAGAAAGATGTGTTTACTCAAATGAAGAGTTGCAACTTTTGACTCGTCATGAATAATCACATGTTTTCCAAAGAGGTACCTCAAAATCTATAAATAGGAAGCCCCTATAAACATAAAATAACTATTCATTGTTTTACATAACATATAGTGCACTAAATATTAGAGAGTCTCATTGAGTCCATATAAGAGTATTCAACACAATTGTGGTTAATGGAGCCTTATGATTTGGAATGCTACTATTACAAAGATGTGGTCATTGTATCTTGGGAGACAAGCGCTGATCAACCATGAGCACCATAATGAGACTTAAACTTGTCTTAAGGACAAAGTGTCTAACACTTGCCTCGACCGTATTTTCAGGTTTTTCTAATCCATTATATCATGTTCATTTAACATTGGTTACTCATGTGTATGCATTATTTTGATATATAATTGCATGAATTATTTCTTGATTTTCTATGATTTAATATAGCAATTATATCCTAATTTTTCCAACAATAACTAGTGCTACCTAATCAATCCAATATCTAATCATAATAGTTTTGGTACCTATATGTAACATATCCATTCCATGTACATGCCATTAAAGTGAACTCCATATCGTGCAATCTGCAATCATCAACTAACTATGCGTGTGTACTAATTAAATTTAGATGTTTATGCACGTAGGAGGATTCAAACCTACTAAGACATATGAATTTACAGTTTAGCCCATAATTACCCGTTTACGTACCATTAGAGCATTCACCGATGTAGTTTAGCTCCATTCAATTTTTGTTGTTATTAAGATATGGATCAGAACCCTTGACATGTTGTGGTCCTAACCCATCTTCGAAACGTTCCTCACCATTGGGATTAACTTTGCTTATGAAGAATGAGTATCATTCTTCTTTACGTGTTTACTAACAACAAAATGAATTAAAAGGTATGTAAACAAAACATCCCTTGGATTATTTTGGGTGAAATGGGAGGAGAGGCCCAAACAACAATCACCCCAAAATCTGGGTCTGGCTAACAACAGGAAAAGGAGTGTCCAACCAAGTGCAAGCCCAACTCCAAGTAAAACCTGTCCAACAGTTAATGTAGTTTCTGCTTCTTCTTCTCAGTTAATCTGTATGTTTTTGGAAATGCAATGCGCCATGGAAGGCCTTTCCTGGTCAAAGACCACCGCCACCACGGCGCTTCCCAGCTGGGAGACATACTCCTGGTGGCCGCCATCACCAAGACCCTCTCCACCTCCGGCACTGGCAACCTCCCGGACCCCCACACTCTCCCGCTCTCCGAGCCCCTCCTCTTCCAAATCCTCCGCGCCCAGTCCCTCCGCCCCTCCAAAAAAATCGACTTCTTCAAATGGTGCTCTCTCACGCATAACATCAAACATTCGGCGCGCACCTACTCCCACATCCTCCGCACCGCCTCCCGCGCCGGATTCCTCCACGAGGTCCCTCAATTGCTTCACTCCATGAAGGTGGACGGCTTCGTGGTCGATTCCCAGACCTTCAAATCCCTGCTCGACGCGTTTATCCGGTCCGGTAAGTTCGATTTTGCGCTTGAAATTTTGGATATTATGGAAGATGTTGGTGCTGGGTTGAACACCGATATGTATAACTCGGTTCTTGTTGCTCTGGTTAGGAAAAACCAGGTGGGTTTGGCCATGGCCATTTTGCTTAAGCTTCTGAAGGGAGGGGATTCGACCCAGGTGCCGAATTCGATTGCCTGCAATGAGTTGCTGGTTGCTCTTAGAAAATCTGACCTGAGGATTGAGTTGAAGCAAGTTTTTGATAAGCTTAGAGAGAGTGAGGGGTTTGAGATGGATACTTGGGGGTATAATATTTGCATTCATGCATTTGGATGTTGGGGTGATTTGGGTACTAGTCTGAGTCTGTTCAGAGAGATGAATGACTCTTACTTGGATTACGTCGGGCCGGATTTGTCTACATATAATAGCCTCATTCATGTGCTCTGCTTGGTGGGGAAGGTGAATGATGCACTTACTGTATGGGAGGAATTGAAGGGCTCCGGCCATAAGCCAGACGCAATTACCTATAGAATTCTTATTCAGGGGTGTTGTGAGTGTTATCGAATAGACGATGCCACTAAGATTTTTAGTGAAATGCAGCTCAATGGATATATCCCGGATACCATTGTTTATAACTTTCTGCTAGATGGGTTATTCAAGGCTGGGAAGGTTAATGATGGCTGCCAGTTATTTGAGAAAATGGTTCAGAATGGGGTGGGAGCCTCGATGCAGACGTATAATATTCTCATGGATGGTTTGTTCAGGAATGGAAGGGCAGAGGCTGCGTACACACTATTTTGTGACTTAAAGAAGAAGGGTCAGTTTGTCGATGGTGTAACATATAGCATTGTGGTTTTGCAACTTTGTAAGGAGAGTTTGCTTGAGGAAGCACTAGAATTGGTGGAAGAAATGGAAAGGAGAGGCTTTACTGTTGATTTAGTTACTATTTCGTCACTTGTGATTAGGCTGTATAAAGAAGGTCAGTGGGATTGGACGGACAAGCTCATGAAGAACAATAGAGATGATAACCTAGTGCCGAGTGTTCTTAAATGGAAGGTTGATATGGAGGCTTCGCTGAAAAATCCACAGAGAAATAGAAGGGATTATCCATCATTGTTCCCAAGTAAAGGCGACTTGAGTGAGATTATGAGAAAGTCTGCTGAATCAACAGTGGATGGAAACCTAGATTCAGAGGCTGCGAGGGTTTAGGAAGATAATAAGAATTTGTCCAATTATACTGATCGGTGGTCATCATCTCCACATATGGATCAATTGGCTAATCAACTTAAGTCCACCGACCACTCCTCACAGCTGTTTGCGTTGCCCAGGGGGCAAAGAGTTCAAGCGAAAGGGGAAAGCACTTTTGATATTGACAAGGTTAATACATTTTTGTCCTTATTCTTGGCCAAGGGAATGCTGAGCATAGCATGCAAATTGTTTGAGATTTTCAGTGAACTTGGTGAAAACCCCGTGAGTTATACTTATAATTCGATGATGAGTTCGTTCGTCAAGAAGCACTACTTCAATGAGGCATGGGGTGTACTCAATGAAATGGGAGAAAAGGTTTGCCCCACAGACATAGCTACATACAATGTGATAATTCAAGGCTTGGGGAAGATGGGTAGAGCGGATCTGGCTAGTTCTGTCCTGGATAAGCTAATTAAGCAGGGTGGTTATCTTGAAGTGGTTATGTACAACACCTTGATTAATGCACTAGGGAAGGCAGCAGGATTGATGAAGTAAACAAGCTCTTTGAGCAGATGAAGAGTAGTGGAATAAATGCTGATGTTGTCACTTTTAATACACTTATTGAAGTTCATAGCAAAGCAGGTCGGCTACCCCGAACCATGTTATTGACACGACTTTAGATTTTCTGGGCAAGGAGATTGAGAAAATGAGGTACCAGAAGGCATCCATGGTGCGCAATAAGGATGACTGACCTTGATAAGAATTGTACACTTCAATTCAACTGTAGTTCAACCTGCTATGACTTTTGGCTCATAAATGTTAAATGAAAATTTGAAGGCTAAAAGTGTAGTCGTGTGTTGAGGTGCCTTTTCGACCTATAATCATGTCATGCTCAGCTTAGGTCATTTCTAGAGGTGAAACTCCAGAACAAATTCATTTGAATAGAATGAATAGACAAGTACTGTTTTGTTGAAATACTATCAATTTGGACCACATATCAATGAAAGAGCGCATACGTTACATATAACATGTACGAATCTATGCCCCACTAATATGCAATATTCTACCGTGAGAAAGTGGGCGAAGAAAAATGTTAGGATAATGATAGATGTGAGATCCATCTTAGCTCTACACTAGTCAACTCTTTTAGTCTAGGAATTTGATTAGTGCTTTCTTAGCCGGTAGTCTATATATATTTAGGCACTCTTTTTAGCCTCACACACACCCTGTTTAATCATGTATATTGTTTTTGTTTGATTTATTCAATCTAATGGCTATATATAAAGGGTGAATCACCTCCCTATATTTACGCCACAAGAATTCTTATAAATTGGGTTCTGTTCAAGCTGCTAGACAACCGCAGCTTACCCAAACCAAAGTTTCACACAAAACTGATACCATGGGGAATTACAAGTTCATTTCACCACTTCTCTTCTTCTCATATTTGTGCATGCATGCCTTTGTTCTTAACTCATGTCTTAGTTTGGCCCTTGCCGGATCAAACGAGACAGATAAACTGGCGTTGCTTGAATTCAAGGCTAGGATAACTACAGACCCTTTTGGAGTCATGAGTTCGTGGAATGAAACAATCCACTTTTGCCAATGGCGCGGTGTTACCTGTGGTCACCGCCACAAGAGGATCACAATGTTGAAGCTGATGTCCTTGAAGCTTGGAGGCTCTATATCGCCACATGTTGGAAATTTGAGTTTCCTCAGAGTGTTTAGTCTAAAAAATAACAGCTTCAGCCATGGAATCCCTCCAGAAATTGGCCGTCTCCGCAGGCTGCAACTTTTGGGATTGCATAATAATTCATTGAGTGGGGAAATTCCCGCTAATTTATCAGGTTGCTCTGAACTCAACTACTTATATATTGGCGACAATTTGTTAGAAGGTAGTATCCCTAAGGAGCTTGGCACCTTGTCAAAGCTAATAGAATTCAATATTGAAGACAACCACCATACAGGAAGTATCCCTCACTCTTTTGGCAATATATCTACTCTTGAAGGGTTTAGTGCAGTTCTTAATAGTTTAAGTGGCAGTATTCCAGATATCTTTGGTCGACTGACCAATTTTGATTTTATTGGATTGGATTCAAATGACTTGTCTGGTACGATCCCTCCCTCAATTTTCAATGTCTCTTCTCTTGAAACCTTTGCTGTGGGATATAATTACAACCTCCAAGGCACTTTTCCTTCAAACTTGGGCAATTCCTATCCAAGACTCCAAATTTTTGCCATCGAGGATAACCACTTTAGTGGAACTATACCTGTTTCAATATCTAATGCCTCAAATCTGTTTACGCTACAAATAGGCGGAAACCAACTGCATGGAGAAGTCCCCTCTTTGAAAAATTTACACGATCTTTGGCGGTTTGTTATTTATTCGAACCATCTTGGAAGTGGGGGAATTGGTGATGATTTGAGCTTTCTTTGCGATTTGACTAATGCCACCGGTTTACAATACTTGCATATTAGTGAAAACATCTTTGGGGGTACGCTGCCTCAGTGCTTAGCCAACCTGTCTACTTCACTTCTATCTTTCTACGTAGATGGTAATAGTATATTTGGTAGTATCCCGAATGCGATGGAAAATCTGCATAACCTGGAAGCCATATCGCTGTCTGGCAACCAGTTTTCAGGGCTCATCCCCCCTGAAATAGGAAGGCTTCCCAAATTATATGAAGTATTGTAGAATTTTTTATGTGTATTTCATGAAGAAACAATTACAAATGAAACATATATATAGGAAAAGAAAGTAGACATAAGCCTAACTTGCCTAACTTGCCTAACTTACCTAATTTCCTAACTTGCCTAATTTACACAAAGAATGTTGACTAGCCTAACTTCACTAGTCATCCAACATGTTTATTTCATGCATGCATTTTACACAAAGAATGTTGACTAGCCTAACTTCACTAGTCATCCAACATGTTTATTTCATGCATGCATTTTAAAAAGATCTGCTAGTTGATCATGGCTTCGTGTGAACATGGTCCGGATGATTTGCGTTTGAACTTGAGCTCTGATGAAATGACAATCCACTTCAATATGTTTGGTTCTTTCATGGAACACAGGATTGGCAGCAATGTGCATGGCTGCCTGATTATCACACATAAGCGTCATAGGAGTAGAACTAGGAAACCCTAAGTCTGAAAGAAGCCCTTTAAGCCAAATGAGTTCACACGCAGTGGCTGCCATGGCTCGATACTCAGCCTCTGCGCTGGAACGAGCAATTACTTGTTGCTTCTTACTCTTCCATGTGACAAGGTTTCCACCAACAAATGTACAATAGCCTGTGATTGATTTCCTATCAATTGCATTACCTGCCCAGTCTGCATCTGTGTAGCCACTAATGACAGTGGACTGATTGTTATGCATTGTAATTCCTTGCCCAATTGAACCCTTAAGATAACGAAGGATTCTCTTAACAAGGTTAAGGTGATCAACAGTGGGAGAGTGCATGAACTGACTAGCCAAGCTCACTGCATATGTGATATCTGGACGAGTGATAGTGAGGTATATAAGCTTGCCTACTAATCGTTGATAGTAGCTTACATCATGCATGGCTTCTCCATCTATGCTGAGCTTCAGTTTACAATCAACGGGAGTGATAGCAGGCTTGCAGTCAAGCATTTTTGCTTCTTGAAGGAGGTCCAATACATATTTCCGTTGATGTAGAAACAGTCCTTTTGAAGATGTTGCCATTTCGATCCCCAAAAAATACTTTAACCTCCCCAAATCTTTGATAGCGAAAGCTTGATGTAGTGAGAGTTTTAGTGCCTCAATCTCCACGGTATTATCTCCAGTGATGATAAGATCATCAACATAGACGAGGACCACCAACTTCCCCCTGGTGCCAGTTCTTACAAATAGCGAAGAATCAGCATTACTTCGCATGAATCCAGCCTTTTTCCAGAACAGAACTGAGCTTGGCATACCAAGCTCTTGGTGATTGTTTCAATCCGTATATGGCCTTGTGCAATTTACAAACCATGTTGCCTTTAATACCATCATAGCCTGGAGGAGGTTGCATATACACTTCTTCCTGCAGCTCGCCGTGAAGGAAAGCATTCTTCACGTCCATTTGGTAGAGTGACCATCCACAATTGATTGCAACTGACAGTAAAACCCTGATTGATTGAGTTCATCTTGGCCACCGGTGCGAATGTTTCCTTATAATCTACACCAAAGGTTTGGGTGAAACCTCGAGCAACAAGTCTAGCCTTGTGTCTCTCGATAGATCCATCAGCTTTGAATTTAGTCTTGTAAATCCAACGACTTCCAACAGCCCTTTTTTCCTGGTGGTAGTTGAACTAGGCTCCAGGTGCAATTCTCTTCCAGTGCACGAATCTCTTCTTTCATGGCTTGGTTCCATTGTGGGAGAAGAGAAGCTTCTTGAAAGCTTCTTGGTTCATAGTGCTTATCAATTTCACTGAGAAATGCAGCATGAGATGTTGAGAACTTACTAAAGCTGATACATTCATTGATTGGATGTCGTGAGGCATATGTAACATAGTCCTGCAACCTAGCTGGAGGTTTTCTGATTCGAGGAGGATTTCTTTTAATCACCTGAGACTCTGTAGAGGGCGGAGAAGGATCAGAGTAGGGCTCGTCTTCACTCTCACTGGCAGTAATTTGGTCAGTTTGAACTTCTTCACAATCTGGACTTACAATGACTGATCTCTTTTCCAACATCGGATAATTAAAGTTTTGAGGGAGTGGGAAAATGTCAACTAAATCCTCCCCCTGACTTGTAAAATAGGGATAGTCTTCTTCGAACTTCACATCTCTTGAAACTGTGCACTTCTTAGTGACTGGATTGAAACACTTGTATCCCTTTTGAGTGGTCGAGTATCCCATAAACACACACTTGGTTGCCCTGGCATCTAGTTTGTCACGGTTCAAGGTTTGGATGTGAACAAAACACACACAACCAAACACCTTGAGATGTTTCAAATCTATTTTCCTCCCCTTGAGAACTTCATAGGGAGATTTAAACCCTAGCACACGACTTGGAAGTCGATTGATGAGATAAGTGGCAGTAAGGATGGCAAACGACCAAAATTTCTTTGGAACGTGCATGTGAATCATGAGAGCACGAGTTTTTTTCCAAGAGATCTCTATTTTTCCTCTCGGCTACTCCATTTTGTTGGGGAGTCCCCACACAGCTGGTTTGATGTATGATACCCTGAGAACTTATGTATTGAAGCATGTTGTTGGATAGAAATTCAGTGCCATTATCTGACCTTAAAACCTTAATGTTTGATTGAAATTGCGTTTTAACATGCATGTGAAAGTCTTTGAAAATGGTAGGGACTTCACTTTTTGATTTCATAAGATATAGAAAACTTGTTCGAGAGAAATCATCAACAAATAGAACAAAATATTTAAAACCTTCCATTGATTCAGTTGCAGGTCCCCATACATCAGTGTGTATCATTTCAAAAGGTTTACTTGTCCTAGACATTGAATTACCCAAAGGTAGCCTAGTAAACTTAGAAAATTGACAAGTATCACAAGTAGGATAGGGGTTACAAAAATTTGGAAACAGTTTTGACAAGACAAGTTCAGAAGGGTGAGCTAATCTCCTATGCCAAAGTTGGTTTTCATCTATGGACTTCGATTGAGCTTGAAGAGCCTGAGTGAAACATGCATTCTTGCACAGGTAGTAAAGTCCATTTATGAAGACCCCTTCACCAATCATCTTCATGGTGAGAACATCCTGAAACATTACTTTATTTGGTGAGAAAATAGCACGGCAGTTTAAGGTGTTGGTGATCTTTCCAATTGACAAAAGTTGGAAGGGAAAGGTTGGTACATAGAGGGCAGTGGAAGGTGTTTTTTGAGAGAGTAAGTTTATTTCTCCTTTTCCCAAAACTAAGACATTTTTTCCATTTGCAACAGACACATGTGAGGGGCTTGAAATTTTTTTAAAATGATGTAAATTTGTAACTTTGTTTGTCATATGATCTGTGGCGCCTGAATCAATTATCCAACAATCAATTTCAGTACTAGTTAATAGGGCAGTAGTAAAGGCTTTGAGTATACCTGATGCTTCTCCCTTTGGAACTTTCTCATTTCCAGCAAGAAATCCGGCAAAATTGTCCCAACATAGCTGTGTGACTACCCTCTTCATTGCCTTGACCATGTGAGCCTCCTCCGTGCCCCTTACTTTGTAGGTAAGCTGCAAATTCATTGATCAATGACAATGGATTGGCAGTGAACTCCATGGATCCTTGTGAGATAGTAGGAGCGTGAGCATTAGCAAGTTGTGCCTTGAAATGAGGTTGAAATTGTTGTGAGGACCTTGGTATCATCCTTCCATCTTTGCTGAACTTAGGCTTGAGTTCAGGATGGAGTTCCCAACACTTGTCTTCCTCATGACCAACACCATTGCAATATTTGCATTTTAGATGTGTGTTTCTTCCCTTGTATACCTTGGCTTCTGAGTTCTTGTACTTTGATGCATATGCCCGAGTCTCTGTTAATCTAGGATTGTGATCAACATTCATAACCTTCTTCCTTGCTTCTTCTCGTTGGATAGTTGCACAAACATTGTTGAAGGTAGGCAGGTCTTGACTCATCAAGATGTGACTCCTTAGGTCCTCATACTCAGAGCTCAAACTCCCTAACAGCTGATAAATTTTGTCTTCCTCAGTTCGTTTTAGGAGAATGGTAGGATCTGTGGTATGAGGGAGATATACATCCAACTCATTCCACATGGCTTTGAGGCTCCCAAGGTGTTGAACAAATGCTTTCCCTTCTTGTTGAGCACTGGCAATGTCCTTCTTTAATTGGAAGACCCGTGCATAGTTGTTTTGATTTCCATACATATCCTGCAAAGCTTTCCAAAGATCATGTGCGGAATTGGAGTAGCTAAAAATTTCAGCAACATGTTTCTCCATGGTGTTGAGCAGCAAGGACATGACAAGTTGATCTTTGCAGAGCCATGCATTGTATGTAGAGGAAGAACTGTCTGGAGCTTCCACGCTTCCATTTACAAACCCTAACTTCCCTTTGCCTCCGAGAGCTAGTGAAACAGCTCGGGACCAAGGAAGATAATTGAACTCGTTCAAGAGAACTGAACACAAACGTTGATTGATGTTAACCTCAACGTCTGAGAAGTTTAGAGAGAGATTGTGCCGGGTTTCCTCATCATGATTCACAGAACTTTCTTCAGTCATGACTTAGACTTTGAAAGAAAGAAAAAATTGCAGCAGCAAGAATGGCAGAGACAGGTTACAAATGAACCTGCTCTGATACCATGTAGAATTTTTGATGTGTATTTCATGAAGAAACAATTACAAATGAAACATATATATAGGAAAAGAAAGTAGACATAAGCCTAACTTGCCTAACTTGCCTAACTTACCTAATTTCCTAACTTGCCTAATTTACACAAAGAATGTTGACTAGCCTAACTTCACTAGTCATCCAACATGTTTATTTCATGCATGCATTTTACACAAAGAATGTTGACTAGCCTAACTTCACTAGTCATCCAACATGTTTATTTCATGCATGCATTTTAACACAAGATATGACTTGCATGCATTCTTCCAACAAGTATATATGGAAAACAACTCCCTTTCTGGGAATGTTCCATCATCTTTTGGAAATTTAAGTCGATTAACTGATCTGCATCTCGAGGATAACAACCTTCAGGGCACCATCCCTTCAACTTTATCTCAGTGTCCCAATTTGGTGAACTTAACTCTTGGTGATAACAATTTCACTGGTATCATATCCCCAGAATTAATTCGTCAGTCTTCTTCATATGTTCATTTGGATTTTTCTCGAAACCATTTGACTGGCTTTCTTCCCATGGAAGTAGGACAATTGAAAAATCTAGAACATTTTGATGTTTCTGGAAACCTGTTGTCTGGTGAAATTCCTCGAAGTCTTGGAAGTTGTGAAACCATACAATATCTTTACTTGCAAGAAAACTTCTTCCAAGGGACAATTCCATCAGAGTTGAGTTCACTACGAGGTATTGAAACCTTATCTCTCGCTCGCAACAACTTGTCAGGGACAATTCCGAAATTCTTGGCGAATTTTACATTTCTGCAATCCTTGAATCTGTCTTATAACAATTTAGAGGGCATGGTACCAATCGAAGGAGTTTTTCGGAATGCAACTGCCACAACAGTCCAAGGGAATACAAAGCTCTGCGGGGGCATACCAGAGTTTCAATTGCCAAAATGCGAATTTCGACATTCCAACAAAAAGGGGTTGAGCCTAACCTTGAAATTGGTAATCTCTCTCCTTTGTGGGCTTTCTGGAGCCTTTTTTTCATTTGCCGTTTTGTACCTTTGTTGCTTCCGTAGTAAAAAAAAGGAGGATCCTTCGAGTGATTCTGAAAAATTTCCTAAGGTGTCTTACCAAAGTCTTCTTAAAGCGACTGATGGATTCTCTTCTGCCAATTTGATTGGTATGGGAAGTTTTGGGTCAGTTTATAAAGGATTACTTGATCAAGTTGGAACAACAGTTGCTATCAAGGCACTCAACCTCGCTCGACACGGTGCTTCCAAAAGTTTCATTGCTGAGTGTGAGGCTTTGAAAAATATTAGACATCGTAACCTTGTGAAGGTACTTTCTGTATGCTCCGGATTCGACTATCGTGGTTTTGATTTCAAGGCCTTAATTTACGAGTTCATGGTGAATGGGAGCTTAGAGGAATGGTTGCATCCAGCTCAGACAAGTATTGATCCGAATCAGAGGCAAAGGAGGTTAACTTTTTCTCAGAGGTTGAACATTGCAATAGATGTTGCAATGGCATTGGATTATCTCCATCATCACTCTCACGTGCCAATAGTTCATTGTGACCTCAAACCCAGCAATGTTCTTCTCAACGATGATATGATTGGACATGTAGGTGACTTTGGGTTGGCAAGATTCCTTCCAAGAACTCTTGAAGATGGTTCTGGTAATCAGTCAAGCTCCATCGGAGTTAAAGGAACAATCGGTTATACTCCTCCAGGTAAAACGTACTCACTTTCTTTTCACTTTTTTCAGTATTCATTTATAATTTAGGTTTTTTTTTTCAAGTATTAAAATAAAAACATTTGTACAAATGTAGAGTATGGTATGGGGCATGAAGTGTGGCCACAAGGTGACGTGTATAGTTACGGCATCCTCCTGTTGGAAATATTTACGGGAAAAAGGCCAACTGGCGACATGTTTCAAGGATCGTTAAATCTTCACAACTTTGTCAAGGCAGCACTGCCTGACCATGTGTTAGATATTGTGGATCCAGTTCTTATTCAAGAAAAAGAGAGTGCAAACCAACGTCTTACTGAGGCTAGCACAACGATTCGCATCAAATTTGAAGATAGCTTGATTTCAATCTTAGAAATTGGTGTTGCATGCTCCGCAGACATGCCTGGGGAAAGGTCGGACATCACTGATGCTATGGCTGAGATGTGTCGGATCAGAAACAAACTTCGAGCAGATAAAATGTTGGATTAGAATAAGCATACTGTTAAGTATTAGCATGTACCTAATAATCTTGTTTCCCTTTGTGGAAGTCGAAGTTCTAAGATTTGCGTGATCAATAAAAACCGTATACTTGATAACTTGTCTGACGGACTTCAATCCACTTTCTTACTTCGTTCCGTTGAGTTATACTTAATGCATTTGGCGTAAGGTGAATTTAAGCTCGTACTTCTTGCTGCATGTGTTATCAAAATCTGGAACGAGTATCGGATTTACATGTCAAGATTTCGTAATTTGTATCGTAACAATTTCTTCTTTAAAAGGAAAACTTGTATGTTCTAGAGCAAAACCCATTCGGTCTTGACTCCTGCAAGGTCCTTTTATCTATGAAATATCCAAGCATCAGGATTAGATTCAAAGGATAGGGGAAAGCCATGATTCAGAAGGCTTACTTTATGTTCCTTTGCCTTGTAGTTTATTACTTCCACAGTTGAAACTAGAATAGATACAAAACTAATAAAGTGTGTGTAGTAGATTTTAAAGAAATTAATGAAAATGACTTGAAAGTTTTGAGTTTTAACGATAAGGACAAAATAAAGGGTAAAATGAATAGTAACATGATTGACTTTTTAATGTAAAAATATAATTTTTCGTTAAAATGAATAATACTAAGAGCTTTTCATTCAAATTCCCTAGACTTTATCCCGAACAGGACGGTGAAAGCCTGAAGAGATTCATTTGCATAGACTTAATTGTTGTGTGATTACTTATGGGTCATGTGTTGACAATAATTGAAGACCATTATTTGCTTTCTGTTGTGGCGTGGAAGTCTTCATTCAAGAGAAGACATGATGACTACCACAAGCGAAGTTGGTAGCAGGTTTTGACTTTGGGTTGCGTGCAATTGTGAATGCTTTATCTTCTATGCATTAAATGGCAAATGGAGAAAAAGGTATTCATCAATTTAACCTCTGAACTTGTAAGGATTGATCAATTTCCTCTCTTAAATTTAATTTTGGCCAATTTTCCCCATCAACTCTCATAATTAGTCAATTTGCACCGTATTGTTAATTTTTTTTTTCAATTTTCCATCTATTATTCCGTTAAGTAGATATCCACATGATTGCCTTCAAAGGTCAAAAAAATCATTTTCCCTACACCTTCTATCTTCTTCATTTTCTTTGAACTTTCTCTTGTTCTTCCTTTTCTCCAACCCGAGCCCGTGATTGCCGCCAACGCCTCCCTCCGTTGTTTGCAACCCAGTCCATTGATATGTTGCTTTTGCAGTTTGCAGCTACCTACACCTCATCGCCTCCTCCCTCGACCTCGTCTACCTCTGGTAAGGTGCAGGGAAACCTACTTAACGGAAAATGACAGTAGGGTGCAAATTGAAAAAAAAATGACAGTAGGGTGCAAAATGACTTTTTTGACCTTTAAAGGCAGTCATGTGGATACTTACTTAACAGAAGAATAGATGGAAAATTAAAACAATTAATAGTAGGGTGCAAATTGACTAATTATATGCGTTGAGGGGGAAATTGCCCAAAATTAAAGTTATGGGAGGAAATTGGCCAAAAATTGATGAATCTATACTATATATTAAGAGAACACACCTTGTCAACCTTTTTGCCTACTTTTTCCAATTTTGCCCCTCACTTTTGAATACACAATATTGAAATGAGGAGGTCAAAATAGTAATTTTGTACATTTTGACAAAAATGACAATCATATTCCCTTTTTTCCTATTTTGCCCTCACTTTTGATACACAATATTTACATAAGGAGGGCAAAATAGTAATTTTGTATAAAAATATTTACATAAGATAAAAATATGCACTTATTAAGAGAAATTGTCTCACCATCATTTTTTTCATATAGGTAAGTGAAACCATGATGTTTTTTGGATAGTTTGAATGAACTGAAGCGGTTGCGCTTGAGGAGAACGTGGAAGAAGGTGAGTTGTTGTTCACACACATAAAATGTGTGCTCTCTGCTAGTACTTATGGAGAAAAGGGTTGCAAGCTGTAGGCCAGGTACAGCAAAGGGTTTGAATTTGGCGTGTGAACTAAACACCGATTGATCATAGTTGTTGGCGTCACTTTAATGGGTTGCTGATGTATGCTTGTAACTTAATGCAATATTTGTGCATTTGGTAAGCATCCGGAGGTGACCACAAAGGAGAGAAAATCAGAGGGAAGAGTGGTATCTCATAGGGTAGGATGACCTCTTGGGAAATACTGTGAGAGGGTGTACAAAGGTTTCGGATTTGTGTTATGTTGATTTAATTCAAGTGTATCTTGCACTTGTTACTATTCTCATTGTGAAGAGCAATCTCTCCGGGGACGCATGCATGTTGATTCCGAACCTCGTAAATTTTCCATTGTCTATATTTTTTGTTTATTTTATTTTGCTTAACTGAGGTTGTAAATTGAATCTCGGTTCTGCTTAGCCAAAAGCACAACATAAATAAAAACTAATAGTCCTTCAACCAATAGTATCATAGGTGAAGTCAATGCAGAGAAAAAGATTACCTTTCTATACTATCAGAAAGTGTGTATACTATTATTGGTCTTGTTTGACTACGTACATAACAATAACATGTCATACTATCTAAATGAAGACGATTTCCCGACAAATCCATGCCCCACTAGTATGCAAATTCTGCCGTGAGAAAGATGGCGAAGAAAACTTTTAGATTATGGTAGACGTTGGGATCCATCTTAGGTCTACGCTAGTCAACTCTCTTAGTCTAAGAATTACATTAATGCTTTCGTTGTCAGTAGTCTATATATTTTGCAATTTCTTTAACCTCACACATTCCTGTTTATTTAATCATGTATATTATTTTCGTTTAATTTATTCAACTTAATGACTAAAAATAAAAAGTGAATCATCTCTTTATATTTACGATATACTTTACAATAGTCTTTAATCATGTACATTGTTTTCGTTTGAATGATAATGTTACTACTTCATATTAGTTTTCTTCTTTTATGTTAATGCATCCTGCTTTCACTATTGCCATTAAGAAGAGCCTGTCTTGGATTCTCGCTTCGTTTATCTTCCCAGTTTTCCAACCCAGCCCATGTAAAATTACAATGCTTCTTGTCTATAGCCTGGTCGTAAACTATTCAAATACCTTCGAGCAGATAAAATTTTGGATTAGAATAAGCATACTGCTAAGTATTGGCATGTACGTAATAATCTTGTTTCCTTATGTGGAAGTCGAAGTTCTCATATTTGCTTGATAAATAAAAACAGTGTAGTTGATAATTTTTTTGACAGACTTCAATCCATTTACTACTTCGTACCGTTGAGTTATACTTAATATGCATTTCCATGATGAGAATATTTTTTTTTTTTTTTTGCATGGAGGGCTACTTCAATGAGGTTTTACCCACTGACATAGCTACATACATTGTGATAACTCAGTTTGGGGAAGATGGGAAGAGCAGATTTAGCAAGTTCTGCCCCGGGTAGGCTAATGAAGTCGCTAATGAAGCCGGGTGGTTATTGAAGCAAGTTGAGATACCATCGTAAAATCAATTAGCAATATAAAAAATTTCTCAAATTCTTATAAGTACATACACCCTTGATTAATGCGACAGGGAAGGTAGCCGGATTAATGGACGAAGAGTGGCACATATCCGGAGGTGAACACAAAGAGGGAACATCAGAGAGAAAAAAGTGGTATCTCTTAAGGTAGGATGAGCTCTTGTGAAATACAATGAGAATGTGTACAAAGGTTTCGGGTTTGGGTTTTGTTGATTTAACTCAAATGTATCTTGCACTTGTTATTATTCTCATAGTCATAGTAAAGATCAATCTCTCCAAAGACGCACACAGGATTTTGTTGAACCTCGTAAATTTGTCGGTGTCTTTATTTCTTGTTTATTTTATTCTGTTTAAGTGTGGTTTGTATTCTGTTGAGGTTGTAAACTGAATCTCGGTTACATTTAGCCAAAAGCACAACATAAATAAAATGATGAACTGCCAATTTGGTCCCTGAATTATCACGTGAGTTAAAATTAGGTCCATAAATTATTTTTTTTTCAGAAAAATTAGTCCTTAAATTGTAAAAATCTGCCAATTACATCCCTCATATTAGATTTGAAGCTACTATAATCAATTTTCCGTCAATTTAAGTCACGTTACTTGCATGTGATACACATTGGAGGGTAGATTGATAATCTTCCATAAAGAAATAGTGTATAGAGTTAACTTTGGACAGTAAGTTAGACATTAGATTCGCAACCTATATGAAATGTTAAGGGCTTATAGGCGAGAAAAAAAGAGTATTACAATCTAAAGTGTGTCAAGTGACTTAAGTTGACGAAAAATTAGGTAAAATAGCTTTGAGTGTAAGAGTAGGGATGAAATTAGCAATTTTTAATGAATTTAGAGACTTATTTTACCCAAAAAAATAATTCAAGGACTTAATTTTTACTAAGATGATAATCCAGGGACTAAATTGGCACTTCACCCTAAACAAAAACTAATAATCCTTCAACCGATAGTATCATAAGTCAATTCAATGCCGAGAAA